GAGCAATTCCCATCATCCCCTGTGCCTGGAAGAGCTCAGTGGACACCTGCGTCCCAGTGACCCACCTGGCCTGGTGGAAATGAAAGCCCTCCTGCTGAGAAGTTCCCCTCACAGGGATCCACACAGGTACTGCCGCTTTCTCCCCCTTAACGTGGTTCAACTGTATGGTTCCTCCGTGTCTGTAGAGGACTCCTTCTCCAACCTCTGGGTCACTCAAACAGCCACGGAGGATGTGAACCCTTTGAATTCTCCACACTTTCAGCATGGAGGGTTTGAAAAGCGGCACCCCATCAGGATCACGTTCTGAGTAAAATCTCTGCAGAACACTTTCCACTCTCTCCACCAACTCTGCAGGACCTGGGATCTTGTTGCGGCAGTGGTCTCTAATGTGCTGCTTTGTTGGGTTTGGTGGCTCGATCCCACAGAAAATGTAGGCCTGCCGCAGCCTCTGCAGGTCTGCCTGGTCAACTACACAGAACGCTGCTGACAGGAATTTGCAGAATGTGCTGTACAGCGGATGATGTTCTGAAGTGCACTCTCTGGAGAAACGCCGCATACAGTGAAACAAGTCCAGCTTGATGCTGATTTCACTGTTGTACTTCCTTCTAGAAGCACAGCTGTTGGTGAGGCTTCCAGAAGTTGCCTCAGCTACTGCAGCATCTGTTGTCTTCCAGGAGTCCCACAGCAGGTGTTCATGTGGTTCAGGGTTTGGGATCCTGAATGCAGCACAACAATCCCTGAAACATAAACAGAAAAATACATTTTGAAATGTGATGCAGAGGACCTTGAGGATGCTGCAGGGGTTCCTGGGAGGTAAATTGTATAATGTAGGTAAGTATAATTAAAAAAAAGTATCAATGATGATTATATGTTTTATTATTGAAATAATGTACTCACTGAGACCCAAAACAGGCTCTGGTCTTAAGGGTGGTGTGGTCTTGCTTAATGGTATTTTGAGAGCAAGCAACTCTGGAGGTACTGGTGCAGGACGCTTCGAAGAAGCTGTGGAAAAAAAATCTGAAACTTAGTATTCTGTAAACAGATCAAATGCACGCAGATGTGCATTTATCCACCTGATGTAGGAGTGACAGGGGTGCTGCAATCACCAGCTTGGTCTGGTTTCGAGACTGCTGCCGTTGCTTTGAAGTTTCCTGAAGCAGAAAAATATATTTTTACCACCATTACCCACATATGTCTTCTTGACAAAATACATATAAAGACAATGGAGGTAATCAAATAACATGTGGGTGTGATATGATAAATGATTTGTAATTCTTTAGCTTATTTAATTATATGGTGGGTCACCATCTCATTTGAATGAATGATACATTTTTATAAATCATTGCATTTATTTTTCTTTTACTNGCAGCATCTGTTGTCTTCCAGGAGTCCCACAGCAGGTGTTCATGTGGTTCAGGGTTTGGGATCCTGAATGCAGCACAACAATCCCTGAAACATAAACAGAAAAATACATTTTGAAATGTAACATTTTTGTAAGCAAAGTTATGCATATTTCAAACTGTTTTCCTTAAACATGAATAATAAAATATTTTTTAAAAATTGTCTTCTCTTACCTGTCGACCCATTGATGTGTGGCTTTTGGCTGACCTGCAGAAATGTATCTACTGGACAACCCTGCATACATGGGCTCCAGGGACTTGTCCGTTTCTGACTGTAGCATCACCCAGGACAGGATCATCCAGTTTTCGTTCATAACAGCATAGGAAGACATCGTGCCGGATGCCAGCACAACTTTCCGGGCCACTTTCCGGGTGTGGTCTGCTCTAAAAGCCTGCCCAAACGTGCCTTGAAGGAGCAGATTGAGGGTGTCCTCTTGTCTCCGGTACTCCTGTATGAGGCAGTCCACCAGATAATGAGCCTCGACTGTAACCCCAAACCAGCCATCAGCATCACCGTATCCACCAAAAGGATCAGCAGTGTTGGTGGCTCTCAGGGAAGCAGTGATGGTTTTCTGGCCATAGAGTCCAATCTCTCCATCCAGCACATTTTTGACAGAGGACAGGTAAGACAAGTGAGCACGCTCATACTTCAAATGAAGGGCTTCATTCAACTGGTTGGCCATATCATTTGGAGACCTCCCTGAGCGCCGCAGCTCATCCATCACGGTCCTACATATGCCTTTCTTGTGTGTCAAATAGGCAGGAAAGATGTTCTTGAGTCGAGCTGGCAGCATGTCGATCCACTGTGGCTTATCTGCAAACCAGTACTTTTTACAGCCTCTGCAGCTGAGCCGTGAGGCCAGGATGTAATACTGGCAGGTTGTACTAATGACAACACGGGGCCGGCCAACTCCTGATGACACAACATGGGGGTTTGTACAGCTGTACAGACATGGAAGTGAGTAGTTGTTGCGGACTCTTTCCATTATGGTATGCTCAGGTTTCCAGATAAAAAATGGATGGAGATGAAAATATTTAGGTGATGGGAGGTTTTGGATAGAATCAATGAGCTCAGGCTGAGGAGGGTAACGCCACAAAGAAATCATGTTCATCACATGTCTCACTGGTCGAGAGCCAGGCCACAGACCCAGGGATTCCATCTCTGTTTTCATCCAAATCCTTTGCTGGTGAGAGCAGTTCCATCGCTTCACATCCTGGTCGTAGCTGGGGAGCGATGGAGCAGCTGGCTGGTCACCAAACGCATCTGGAGGATCTCCTACTGGGGCTGCAGAGAATGATGAAGGTGGAGCAGGTGCAGTGCAGTGTGCCACCTCTGGCTGACCAGAAGCTGCAGGTGATGCAGAGGACCTTGAGGATGCTGCAGGGGTTCCTGGGAGG